AGTTCAGGCTGGCCTTGAACTCCTGGCAATCCTCCTGCCTCAGCCTCTCAAGTGCTGGGATTACAGGTATGTGCCACTATATCCAGCCTCCAACTTCATCCTTTTGCATGTGGCTACCCAGTTATCCCAGTGTTGTCTTTTGAAAGTATTATTATTTTCTCCATTTAATTGTCATGGCAACTTTAGTAAAAGTCAGTTAACTAAGCTGGGCATCGTGGGTGTATGCCTGTAATCCCAGCACTCGGGAGGCAGAGGCAGGAGGATTGTTGTGAGTTTGAGACCAGCCTGGGCTACAAAGTGAGCTCAAGGCTGGCCTGAACTGCATAGCGAGACCCTGTCTCAAAAAGACAACAACAACAACAAAAATCAGTTGACGATAGATATATTGGTTTGTTTGTAGTCTCTGAGTTATATTTTATCTATGTCTGTTTTTTTCTTTTTGTCTTTTTGAGACAAGGTCTCTCTAAGTCACTAAATTGTCCAGTCTGGCCTCAAATTTGAAGTTCTCCTGTCTCAGCTTCCCAGAGTGCTGGGATTACAGATGTGTGCCATGACGCCCAGCTTCTATAGCTAACCTTCTGTTAGTGCCACACGGTCAGGATGACTGTTGTTTCTTGGCTTGAAAGCAGAAATGTGAGTCTCTGGCTTTGTTCTCTATTTTCAGGACTGTGTTTTGGCTATTCTGGGTTGCTCATGTTTCAATGTGAATTTTAGGGTCAGCTTGTCCATTTCCACAAAAAAGCAGTTGAAATTTGGAGAGCCAGTACATTGAATTTTAGACTAATTTGAAGAGTACTGACATCATAACAATGAAGTCTTCTAATTCAGAAATACAAGGTATCTTTCCATTTATTTAGGTCTTTTTCTGGGGATGAGGTCTTGCTCTATAGTCTAGGCTGGCCTCAAACTCGAGGCAATCCTCCTGCCTCAGCCTCCTGAGTGCTGGGATTATGGGTGTGTATCACCATGGCTGGCTTTACCTAGGTCTTCGTTAATTCCTGTGAGTGAGGTTTTCTAATTTTCAGTGTACATATCTCATACTTCTTGTATTAAATTCACATCTATTTTATCCTTTTTGATGCTATTGTGAATGGAGTTTTAAAGATTTTTCATCCCTTTCGGCTGGAACCTCCATCTTCCAGTAATTTCCCAAAATGAGGAACACAAAGGGAAGGAGGATGGGAAGCCGGTATACATTCTCTAGGCCTTTTAGAAAACATGGGGTTGTTCCTTTGCCGTGTACATGCGAATCTACATAAAGCGTGATGTTGTAGACATCAAGGGAGCGGGTACTGTGCATAAAGGAATGCCACGCAGATGTTACCACGGCAGAACAGAAGCGTCTACAGTGTTACCCAGCACGCTGTTGGCATTGTCGTAAACAAGCAAGTTAAGGGCACGACACTTGCCGAGAGGATTAGTGTGCGTATTGAGCACATTAAACCCTCAGAGTTGAGACAGCTTCCGGAAATGGGTCAAGGAAAACGATCAGAGAAAGAAGGAAGGGCCGGGGATGTAGCTCAGCGGCGCAAGCGCCTGCCTGGCAAGTGCAAGGTCCTGAGTTCGATTCCCGGTACCAAAAAAAAAAAAAGGAAGCCAAAGAGAGAGGTACCCGGGTTCAGCTGCATGCCAGCCTTCCCCGTCCAGAGAAGTGCACTTCCTGAGACCCAATGGGGGGGAGCCTGAGTGGCTGAAACCTATTCCCTGTGAATTCGTGGCATAAGCTGGGGATGGAGCTCTGCCATTCAGCACCTAACTAGTAGCTAAGTGTTCCAGGCCCTGCTTAAGAATAAAAAAATAGTCCTGTCTTGTAATGGTGTTTTTCTTAACTCAGCAGGCGTGTGGTGCCTTTACTCAGAGAAACAGATATTTGGAGCAGATTCTCATTGACCTAGTTAACTGTGTCAGGTCTTTACTCTTCAGTAAAGAGCTTTTCTTGCTGGAAGATATTGCTGAGGTATTGTGTAGGTGAACACCCAAATGTCCAAATATTTATGAATATTTATATTGGCTTGAAGAGCCTGTAAACCACCATGGGGGAAAGATGTGTCAAATAAATGGAAATCACTGTGTGGCATTCCAGTTAAATAAATTGTTTAAAGCACACACAATTTTTTTTTCATTTAAACTGCCCACTGCTAGTGTATAGAAATACAACCCTTTTTTTTTTTT